AGAAATAGGTGACATCAGATGGAAGAAGAAGAAGAAGAAGAAAGAAGAAGAAGAAGAAGAAGAAGAAGAAGAAGAAAGAGGAGGAGAAGAGGAAAGAAAGAAATTAATAGGAGGAGGAGGAAAGAGAAGGAGGCAGAATAAGAATAAGAATATGATGACGATGATGATGATGATGAAGATGAAGAAGGAGAAGGAGGAGGAGGAAGGAGAAGGATGAAGAAGATGACAAAGATGATGGCAATAGAAGGAGATATGGAGAGTGCTTTCCAGGCATGGGAGGAAGACCTGTACAAACGTATGGAGGTGGGAGAGCTCAGGGTGAAACTGGGTTACAGTTAGCAGTCCACTGTGGACTCTGAGTATATACAGTATATTTTTAAAAAGTAAAATGAAATAAATCCTTCAAGGTCTGCTGGAATCAGACCTTAAGGAGTTTGATCCTATAGGTAAAAGGGAGATATTGACAGATTTTTTTTTTAACACGGGAATGACATAGTCAGAAAAGACAGCATGGGGTAGTGGAAGAGAGCAGTCAATTTGGAATAAAGAAGCCTGGGTGTGAATACTGACTACAACTTAATAACAGTGTGACTTTGGACAAGTCACTTCACCTCTTGGACCCCACATTCCTCATCTATAAAATGAAGGATTTGGACTATATGAGCTCTAAAACCTTTCCAATTGTGAATCTAGAATCCTTATGACATCTCTAAATCTTGGTTTATCAACCTATAAGTTGAGAGGGGTTAGACTAAATTACCTCTAATGCTCATTTCAGATTTAAATGATGCATTCCTAAAGATCTATGCAAGATAAACAATACTTTGACAGCTATGTGGCAGGTAGAGAGAGAGTCAAGAAGCAAGAAAATTATTTAGTAATCTATTAAAATAGTATAAGTCAAAAGTAATGAGGACCTGTTGTGGGATGTTGGTTGTGTACGTAGAGAAGAGAAGATAAATGGAAGGAAAATTCATAGGACTTGATGGGAGTCAGTCATTCAACAAGTATTTATTAAACATTTACTGGTGGGAGGCATTGTACTGAGAACACAAGGAAAGACACAACAGTCCCTGCACTCACAGAGCTCACATTCTAATGCGTGAGACAATGTATAAATAACGAGGTATATACAAGATATATGTACGGCTAAGGGGAGGTCATTTGAAAGGGCAAGACGAAGCAGCTGAGGTGACTGGGGATGGCCTCTTGCAAATGGCAGCTCTGAGCTGAGTCTTTGAGAAAGCTAATGAAGCTGAGAGATCAAGGTGAGGTGACAAAGCATATCGCGGGATTGCCAGTGGAAAGTCCCAGGGACTGGGGAAGAATGTCATGTTTAGGAAATGGCTAGTAGGCCAGACAAAGCCTGTGCCAAAAAGTGTTTGTATCACAGTAAAATGTAAGAAGACTGAAAGGTCAGGAATTGGAAGGGTTATAAAGAGGTTTTAAATGTCAAACACATGACTTTATATTTGATCATGGAAGTAATAGATAGCCAGAGTTTATTGATTAAGGGGATTACATGGACAAACATGCACTTCAGGAAAAATCATTTCAGGAGCTGAATAAAGATGGATTGGAGTGGAGAGAGACTTTAGTACAAGATACCAGTTAGAAGGCTATTATAACAGTCCAGATGAGGGGTAATGAGGGCCTGAAATGGGTGGAGATTGTTTGAGTGGAGAAGAGGGAACAAGAGATATTATGAAGGTTGCAATGACAAAATTGAATGATATGTAAGGTGACTAAAAATAAGGAGCAGAAAAGAACACCAAGCAATCCTGGATGACTGAGACAGTGGTTGTTTCTGACAGTAATAGAAAAATTCAGAAGCGGGGAGGATTTGGGGGAAAAGATACTGAGTTCTGTTTTGTACATGTGGAGTTGGAGACATCTATGGGATGTATACCCATGTCAGCATATCAAAAAGGCAATTGGGGAAGCAAGGCTAGAGCTTAGGAGAGAAGCTACAGCTGGATATACATACACACACATGTATGTGTATATGTATGTGTGTATCTTGTATAAGTGTACATGTGTGAACTTATGAATCACTTTCATAGATCATTGAACTCATGGGAGCTGATGAGATTACCAAGATAAAATCACAAGTGGGATAGAATGAAGCAAAAAGAGGAGAGAGCCCAATGCAGAGCCACATGAATGAAGACTTGGCAAAGGACTATGATATGGTTAGTTTCAAAGAGAACCAGGAGAGAGCAAGGTCACAAAAACCTAGAGAGGAGAAAGTATCCAGAAGGAGATGACCAGCAGCATCAAAGATTGCAGGGAGGTCAAGAAAAACGAAGATTCGTTAAAAAGCCATTAGATTTAGCAATTAAGAGATCACTGGTAATTTTGAAGTTTCAGTTGAATGATGATGTTGGACATCAAATTGCAGCAGTTTTAGAAAATGGGAGAAGTCAAGGTACCTAGATGCCTTTAATTTTAAAGATTCATGGAAAAGGGGAGAACAGGTGTATGATGATAGCCATCAGTTAGGTTAGGATCTAGTCAAGAAGTTTTAAAGATGAGGGAGACTGGGGTGTGTTTGTAAGGTTCTAGAACGGAACCAGTAGACAGGGAGAGATTGAAGATTAGAGAGGGGGGAATGATAGAGGGTACAATCTACTGGAGAAGACAGGAGAGGATACCACAAAGGGGAGATATAGAGGGCATGGTTTTTGCAAAGAGAAGGTCAAACTCTTCATCAGAGTGAAGAGGTGGGAAAATTGTACGTTCGGTTGTAGCTATAGTGAATTATTAAAGTTGCCAATAGGACAGCCATCTATAGATGCCCAGCAGGGAAATAGAAATCTTATACTAGAGCCTAAGGTATACAAAGAGCCAAAGATATAAAGTAGCTGTAATTGTGGATTTGTGTGTATTTTGCATGGAGTTAAGAGATTAAAAAAAATGAATTTTCTAAAGGCTTGAGATTTAACTAGAGGGATTAAATTATTTTCTTGAGAAAGTACCACAGAAGAAGATGAAGTCATCAGTGTATAAACACACAGGGGGAAATTTAAGATTTGTTCAAACCTCCCTGAATTATCTGAAGCTAATACATCTTACCCATTTTGGAACAGGTATGTCCATTGACTTGATACTGGTCTAGAATCTGGTTTAACTAGAGAGGAAGAGGAGGAGAAGAAGGAGGAGGAGGAAGAGGAGGAGGGGGGAGAGAGAGAGAAGAGAGAGAGAGAGAGAGAGAGAGAGAGAGAGAGAGAGAGAGAGAGAAGGAGGGAGGCGGAGGGAGACAGAAAAAAAAGAGACAGAGACAGACTTATAGTTAACTTTACCATGAACTTGATTGTCTGCTTGTTGAACCGAAAAGGGAAGAAGTTTCATGCGTAATCATCATCATCTTATTCTTATTCTTATTCTCACATCATGTTGTGGAAATATTTGTTTTATTCCATAAATTAAAAATGAAATGAATTAAATTTTTAAAAAAAGAAGGGAACAGGTTCAGGGACTGCTATGTATGTGATGAGATATATGTAGTTCCTTGAATCAGGAGCATGGATTTCAGTGAAGGGGTGCCATTTAATTCAGTGAATTAAAACAATACCAGAATATAACTTTGTTGGCAGTCCAGAAATTGCCAATGTCAATAATTATTCACTCCACCTGAGTATTCACTCCCTCCAAAAGCACCATCTGGCACAAAATAAAGGGAAAGTTTTTTCTCTCTAAAGGAGAATGTATTGTTTACATTCTCTCAGGCTCATTGATTCTGATTTTTTCAGCAAGATGAAACAGATATGATATGAAATTATCTATAGATAAGTCATCTTGTTTTGTTTGAGCCTGACCTGTGATTTTATCAATCTAGGGAACTCCCAGGGAGAGAGAGGAAACTCCCTCTGCCATTACAGAACACTTGCTCTTCAATTTGTCTTAGAGAGTGATAAGTATAAACCCTAATTTATCTTGGAGATTAAGTCTCAGTTTTCCCTCCTATAAACTTTCATAACATCTTATATCTCTGTCTTCCATTTATTGAAATTTATTTGCTTTGTTGTTGATTTTTTTTTATTTTTGGTCCCAAGCTGCTATTTGCTTGTCATAAAGAATTCTCAGTGTGGAAACTCCTTCCACCAAGACATATGGGCAACTGGTCTGTGACTTATAGCCTTAGAGAGGTGCCTGGGGCACTGAATGTTTAAGACTTGAGGCAGAATATGAACCTAGAATCTGATCACTCCAAGGCTGACCCTCCATCTATGACACCATACTGCCTCTCTGTCTATCTGATATTATGCTTGCTGGAGGGCAGTGACTGATTGTCTTTTCATTTCCTACTTTCCCCCAGTGTTTAATACAGCACACCTACACATGGTAGGCACTTGCTAAATGCTTGTCAAACTGGATTTATTAACTAAATGAAACTGAGTCACAGTGATAAAATATTTGTTGCAGTGAATTAATTCAAGACCCTGAATTGTCTCCACGTGTGAATAGCAGAGAAAAAAACTGTTTAATGCAACTAATGCTGTCTGCAAGCAAAGATGTTCCCTGGAGCAGCAGGTGATTCATGCTCTCAGACAGAGCTGGCTCCACTTGTAAACCTTCTTACGTTATCTCAAAGTATTAAAAAATCTGTTAGAACAAGAAGAGCCAAAATGAAGAATGAATTGTGTAGAGCAAGTGAGGCAGTGATAAAAGAAGCTGATTCTTGACTCAGGGGAGAGGGGTTCAAATGCCACCTCTGACATTTAAAATGTGTGACATTGGGCAAGTCAGTACGTTTCTTTCATATTCTAAATGGAAAAAAAGCACAGTAGAGTAAGAAATGTTATGGAATTTAGATGGAACTATGGAAAAACATTATTCTAGTCTTATACATCCAAATTTACTCTCTCTCTGTCTCTCTTTTTCTCTCATTTGCAGATGAATTTGTGGTCTGAAAGATAAATTCATACCCACAGTTATAACCCTTGCTGGGAATGTGTATAGTACTCTGTATTCATGAAGACATTCCAAATTATACATACCTAACTCTCTCTTATTCCCCATCAAAGAAGAAAAGTGAAAATCAGCTGTAATCCAAAAGCTTCCTTTGACCTCATTTCATCCTCCTGCACCCACATTTCCATAAAAGCATGAGACAGAAAAATTATACTCCAAGATTCAATTCCTCTTCTTTTTCCAGATGGCCACTCTAATTTATGGGCTGAAAAGGCAACAGAAAAAAGCAATGAAAATGGGAAAGTGGATTTTATATTTTAATTAAGCACACTGTACAGTATAGACTGGCTACTGTGATACGTAAATTCATAGGATCACAGAATTAAGACTGAAAGGGATCTTACAGGCCACCTACTCTGTCTCTCATTAGACCTAGACTAACTAAGCAATACGGGAAGTAAGCAGTGGAGTCAGTATATGAACCCAGTCCCACAGACTCCAAGTCCAACAGTTTTTTTCTCCTATGTCATGCTACCTAGATATAACTTGATAATCCTATTAACATAAAATGAAAGTAATTTGCTCAAGTTATTCAAAAAAATAGAAAGAAGAAGAAGAAGAAGAGGGGGCATTTCAGTAATCATAAAATAAAATGTGCCTAAATTGATGCCTAAAGTCTGCAATTCTAGACCAGGGGGTCCCAATTTTTTTTCTGTCCTTGTACTCCATGACTTTCAGTAAACCTTCCCATTATATTCCCTTATCAAATATGAAGGAAAATAAATTCTAGAGTTTACCATCTATAGACACATAAGAAATAAAATAAACTCACTGATTTCAATTAGATAATATATTTATCAATACTCCCCCAAATCCCTTGACAAGCTTCCTGTACTCCCTGAGGGTCCAGATACCCCAGGTGGGGAACCCTTGCTCCAGCTATTTATTGAACACAGAGTAGTCCTCCAACATTAAAAGTTCAAGGTCAAGACTTTCAGTCAAATAGCATGCTCTCAGTGCTTACAATAAGGACCTAATTAATTCAAATCAATTCAATAAATATTTATTAAGCCTGCTAAAGGTGGTTCATGAATGTGGAAGACAAGTATAGGAATTACAGGCTATGGTGACCAAGCTATGTCTTAGTAAATGTGTCTTCTTCTTGTGACAATAGCTACTCCTTGGGGAGTATTAGCTTTTGGTTGTGACACCAAGACCTGATCCAGACGTCACGTCACTCTCCATATTTAGTGAGTGGCAGGCACAGGCAATGGCCCTTCTTAGACAGTATCCATTAACATTTAAAATAGCCTCACAATTTCATGACAAATGGGGGTAGGGAATAAGGTGCTCTGGAACAGAAAATGTATGAAAGGTAGCCTTGTATTGGGCCATTTTTTTTTTTTTGATGAAAGAGGGGAAGCCCCTTCTGAGAGCTGTCAGCTGCACAGATCAGTATAGAATACCCGGCTGTTTGGAGAGTATCCCCATCCCAAGTAGGATGTATCTAGAACCATGATAGGACTGAAACAAGGGGTCACTTGTCATTAGCCTGTATTAATGAATTTGGCCAATGGAGAGCCAGTTGACTTTGAGAAAAGATAGACCAGTGGAACTATTCTGTACGGCCTTAAGTGAGGACTTAAATAATGGCTTAGCACAATGATCCTGAGGACTAGACAGTCTTGGTTGATATGACACTGCAATTAATTGACTATCAAGAAGACAAGGAAGTCATTGTGCCAACTGGAGAGTCTGAAACCCAAGTAACTTGATGTTAGTGAAAAGAATCTGGAGTCAAAGTATCTGAGCTTAAATCCCAAATCTTCTACTTAACCACCTGTATAACCTTGGACAAGTGACAACACCTCTCTACATCAGGAGTTCTTAACTGGGTGTCCATGGATACTCCAAAGAGTAAGTGAGGTACATTTTATGAGGTCTGTGAATTTGAATAGGAAAAAATCATATCTTGACTTCAATATAATTAGTTTCCTTTGTAATTCCATGTATTTATGCACTTTAAAGCATTATTCTGAAAAGGGATCTAAGGGATCCATCAAACTGTCAAAGGGGTCCATGAAATAAACATAATTAAGCCCTGGACCAGACATAATGATTTTTCAGCTCTAAATTCTTTTAAACTAAGAAATCCTAATAGATGTTTATTGAATAAATTGAATGACTTCCACAGGGGCAATATTTGAGTGTCATTGTCTCAACTATCAGTATCCTTCCCTTGCCTGGAGTTTCAGTAGATATACTTTCCTTGAATCCAGTTCCATCCTCCTGCCTGGACACAGGAAACAGCTAACTCAGGAAAAGGAGTCAATCAATAGGCTTCTTGCCAAGAGCAAGGTGGACCAGGGGACCTTGTTTAGAAGGTGGAAGAGCAACCCTTGGCAGGTAGAATTTTTCAATTCAAGCCATTGCCCTGAATGGATAAGTTACAGCAAGAAAATAAGTTTACCTTTCCTGAGAGAAGACTGAAAATACTATGGGGACAAGGGGAAAACTGAAATTAACTTTTCAAAAGAAAGAGGTCCATGCGAAGTGTTCTAGACATGGGAACTCTGAGTTGAGCCATGCAGACATTCAATCACACTCAGAAAAGCAGTCAAACAATAAAAAGAACCTTGTAAAAACTATGGGAACCAAAACCCAAACCAATCTGCAAAAGAAGGAAATCTATGCCTTTGTGAATGTGAGTCAGTTCTCCCTAGGTACAGGAGTACATGAAAGGAAGCCATCTATCTCTCTCTCTCTTTCTTTCTCTCTCTCTCTCTCTCTCTCTCTCTCTCTCTCACACACACACACACACACACACACACACACACACACACACACCTGAAGTAGTAGATGGGGGAAAAAAGAAAGATGTTGGTGGCAAGGAATGATGCTATTGTTAGTATCTTGTTGGAGAAATTATCAGCAATAGAGACATGGAAAAATGCTGATCCAGTCAAGCACCAAACCTATGGAAAGCAGAAAAACCATCATAGTCTGGCTGAATTGTATCCTCATTTCTTCAGCATGCAGGGTCAACTTTATCCAAATTATTGAAAAGGAAGGTATGTTTTGAGTGTAGGGGATGTGCCCAGGAGTTGCAGTTTTCTATTTGCCCAAAGAGTCCCAATATTGAGCCATTTCTAGTTGGTTTCAGTGTCAAGACAAACCAGACTAGTTGTCTAGGGCAGACATGATGGAGGATAACTGACAAAATTTTAATGTCTTTTACAGAAATAGTATAGTGAGGAAGAAGTACTATGGTACTAAAGGAGAGGAGAGAAAAAATGATGATGAATTTAAATTTGAACATATTGAGTTTGAGATGCCAGGAGAATATTTAGGTGATATCCACCAGGCAGATGCAGATGGAAGACTTAAACTTAGAAGGGAGGTAGAGATTTGAGAGTCATCCCCAAAATTGAAGCTATGAGAGTAGATGAAATCATCAAGGCAGAGAGTATAAAGAAGGAAGAAAGGTGACCTAAGGACAAACCTTGGTGAATTACTCTAATCAGGGAAATGGATGAGGAAGCAGAGGAAGCAAAAGAGAAAAGAAGTTTCCAGAGACATAGGCTGAAAAACAGAATATTACAGAAAACTATCAAAAAATGGAGTGATAAAGAATCTTGCATTGATGTTAGTAATCCAATTCCACAAGCGTTGGCTGAGCACATACTATGTGCAAAGCACTATGCTGGACATGAGGGATATGAAGTCAATCAGAACAATCACTGTCCTCAAGAAACTTATATTCTATAGGGAGGCCTGAGGCCTGAGAAAGGCAAGTCAAGTCAACAGGCATTTATTAAACACTTACCAAATGCCAGGCTCTGTGTGAAGCCCTGGGAATGCAAATAAAAACAAAAATAATTAATTAGCCTTGTCAGCTAGGTCTCTGAACCCTATTTCTGATGGTCTCACTCACTCAACCCATGAAATTAACTCAAATGACTTGAAATTGAAATCCCTGGTGAGATTTTATACTGGGTTTCTGGTTTTAATTTAGTTTGAATTTGTATTATTCAGTTTTAACATCACAGTAGTGTCTTCCACATACTCTTCCAGAAAAACAGATGTTTGTGTTGCAGTGAATTAGTTAATATAGACTTCAGTCTCTCATTGTAAACCAAAACTTTGAGTAATTTCATTTAGTCTTATGTGTTCCATGACCATCTATCTGTCAACAGCCCACAAATCTATGGGATCACCCTTAAAGCTACACTTTGGATCCAGTTCCACATATTACCCTGCCCACAAGACAACTTCAACTGTTTATATCATCTCTTGTTGTTATTGTTCAGTCTTTTCAGTCATGTCCGACTCTTTGTGATGCCATTTGGGGTTTCCTTGGCAAAGATCCTAGAATGGTTTGTCATTTGCTTTTCTAGCTCATTTTACAGATGAGGATTGAGGTAAACAGAGGTTAAGTGACTTACCAGGGTCACACAACTAGTCAGTGTCCAAGGTCACATTTGAACTCAGCTCTTACTGATTCCAGTCCTGATACTCTATCCACTGCCCCACCCAGCTGCCCATATCATCAGGCATATCATCTAAATATAGACAGTAGAGCTGTTTACTTTCTTGAACAACCAATATTGCCCAACTTCTCCAGAGCAGTGGGAAATGGTCCAACATCATAAGTCTTCTAGATAAGAAATGTCAGTAAGTGACCTGAAACCTCTTTGTTCTAATGAAGCCCCATAACCTCAACCAATGATCACATTAACAGCTGGGGAAGAGAGAGGTAACAGATATGTAAATTTCTACAAATATGTGTCCATATCTGCAAAGAAAGAGCAACTGATTAGTGTGGCATATTGGAAAGGTCAAAGGACTTCATTTCAGGAAATAGAGATTCTAGTCTTGGTCATCTAAAATAAGGAGCTTAACTTGAGCCTCAATTTCCTCAACTGTAGTATCACAGATTCCACCACACCACTGTCAAATGAATGGGTTAGACTATGATGGCTACAGTTCCTCTGAGCTCTGATATGCCATGATTAGAGGTTTATCCATAACTGACCTAAGCCTCTCTTCTACCTTTATTTGCCTTGTTAATGGAGAGTTGAATATACTAGGGGAAAATGGAACACAGTGTGGACCTATGCCTAATCTCCTTTATTATACTGTAAAACACGAACTATATCTTACTAATCTTTTATTCCCAATGGTACCTAGACTTCTAGCAGGTATGTGATATTTCTTTAAATGAATGAATGAATATGAAGGACATAAAATTTAATTCTAACTATTGCTGGTATATGGGGTCTTTGAACTATACGGCTTCACTCCAAAAAAAAAAAAAGTTATGATCTCAATAGAAAATACCAATGATAGCTCCAAAATGTGGAATTCTATAATATTCTTGAAAGGGTATAAACAAAACCTCTGGAGGGGGGAGAGAGGAGAGGCAACACAAATCACTTTTAAGAGTTGATAGAAACTTAGTTTGCTCTCAGAAACACAAATCCCAAAGATGTAATAACTTTAGACCACCCCATCACCATCAGATGAAGGTGGGGCTTCTGCATTTCCTTATCAAGAAATTCATTTGAGAGAACATTGGCAAGTTTTTTCTGAGACTTGCTTCTCATGCCTGTCAGCATCCCTGACTTACTGGCAGAGAAGGCAGATGCTGACAGTGTGGGCCACCCTCCATGCAAAATGTGAGCTTAGAGATATGTGATTTCATGATCTGCTCTAGTCAGCAGGAGCTTTTGCCAAAGCTCAGAGTCCCTTCTCCACTAGCAGTTTATAAAAAATGTATCCCCATTGAATCAGGATTAGGTTCTATGTAAACTGGCTGTGAAAAGGCCACACATACTGTGATACAGAGCTCCTAGGAATTAAACTCTATTAAACTTGTCTTTTTGGGACATAGGTCCTGGGTTTTTGGTTTTGTTTCAAATCAGAAGTACCTCACCAAAAAAATCAGCAAAATTACTCCAGGTATTATCTGGAGTTGATGTTCTTTAAAAAAATTCACATTGACTCAGGTCTTAATTTAGTATAGTTATTGAACTAGTGAGAGAAGTAAAACAAACAAAAAAAAAACCCCAACCTCCTATTAAAGGTTTATTTAAAGCACCCTAGAATCCATAGAATTCAAGGGCTGGTAAGAATCTTAGGGATCATCTTCTCCAACCTCTTCATCTCATATGTTATCATTCTCAAGAAACACTGATTTAGCACCCATTATATGATAGCTCTTAACATATCCAGAATATTTTTCGTATATCATATGACCGTTCATTCATTCAACAAACATTTATTAATTCTTTACTATGAGGCAAAAACTGTGCTGGACACTTGTTACAATCACAGGAGATTATAAAAATCCTTTGTAAACTTTAAAAATCATTGTAACAGGGGCAGCTAGGTGACGCAGTGAATAGAGCACTGGCCCTGGAGTCAGGAGTACCTGAGTTCAAATCCGGTCTCAGACATTTGATACTTACTAGCTGTGTGACCCTGGGCAAGACACTTAACCCCATTGCCTAGCCAAAAAAAAAAAAACAAAAAACAAAAAAAACACATTGTAATCCTCAAAGCGAAATGTGCTTGGGGTTGGGGGGGGGTCGCTCAAAGGAATCTGTATGCATATATAGGGGTGTACCTTCTGAGATACTACAGAGATGGGGAGAGACATAGACAGAGAAACAGAGAGGAAGGCAGGAAGCAGTGGAGAAGAGAAGAAAGAGAGAGAGACAGAGAGGGATAGACAGAGAGAGGAATGGAGGAAGTGGTAGAGAGGAGGAGGAAGAGAAGGAGAGAGGGAGGGAGAGACAGAGACAAAGAGACAGAAAGAGGGGAAGAAACAGAGAGATACAGAGAGAGGAAGGGAGGAAGTGGTGGAGAGGAGGAAGAAAAGGAGGAGAGAGTGAGAGAGAGAGACAGAGAGAGATGAACTTCAAATGCAAAAGGGGAGGCCCCATAGCAGCAGGCATTCAATTGGGGAGGAACAATTGTCCCAACATGCCCTGTGATTTCCAGTTCTTATATCTCAAAGACTATTAAGAATAGGAGAGACCATTCTCCTCAATTGAACAGAAATTTCATTTCTTTCTGAGTAGCAGTCCCTAGACTCTTATCTATTGTATCACTCAAACTAATCTGTCTGATTTCCCTACTAACTATTTTACGGCTTCATTTGATAAATATTTTTGCTTACGATCCAAAATTTTCTTTTGTGTAACACCATGTTATGGGAGCTAATCTTACTGAGATTACACTGTTGCCCTCCAGGTTTGGGCAGAAGTGGTTGTCTCCCCCCAATCCCCACTCTAGAAATCAAAGAATAGAGCTGTTACTCTGAATTCTATCCCCAACCCCATCAAAAAGGAAAAAAAAAAGAATTGTGTCCCTGGACTGCATGGCTCTATTTGCCTCGGTTTCCACATATGGAAAATGAGCTGGAGAAGGAAATGGCAAATGACTCCAGTATCTTTGTCAAGAAAACCCCAAATGAAGTCACTAAGAGTCAGATAAGACTAAAACAACTGACAGAGATTCCTCAATAAAATCTATGGCTTCTCCAAAGAGAATTGCTTCTCAATTCTCAGAGAGAGAAAAAAAAAAACTAGATAAATAATACAGACTATCTATATGATGACATGGAGTTGGACAGGAGATGGACAGCTCAAAAAGCTTGTCCATCAGTAAACAGAGTTTGCAAAGACACTGCAGGTGGAATCAACCAGGTCCAAAGTTGAAGAGAATGTGTAATTGGAGCTGGATTGCATTTGGGGAGAGGTCAGTAGTGTGCAGGAGCCAGCTCTAACCAGCTCAATAAAGTTGACTGTTGAGTTTTCATTGTTAAATTTTCAATGTTCATTGTGAACTACAAATCAGAGCTTAATTTATTGTTTTATTGGTTGTCTAGAGTCTTAGAAAATGTTAATGATGCATTTTACACCTAAAACTATATGTATATTCATTCCCCAACCCCAGCCTCGTTGTAAAACATTTACTAGCATGCCCTTCTATTTGCCTATAAATAATAGGCAATTTACTTAAAGCATTTACTATGTGCTAGGCATTTTACAATTATTTTTCTCATTTGATTTTCACAACCCTGGGAAGTAGGTGCTATAATTATTCCCGTTTTACAAATGAGGATACTGAGGCAAGCAGAGTTAAGTAACTTGCCCAGGGTCATGCAGCTAATAAGTGTCTGAGGTCAGATTTTAACGCAGGTCTTTCTGACTCCAGGCCCTGGACTCTATCCACTAAGGTGCCCAGCTGCCTCTATAAATGTTGCTTGAGCTCAGCAGGAGGGCAGTAGAATGTTCAGGGAAGGAAGTACTCGCCAGACCAGAGACCTGATGACTATAGGATAATAATAGTGTAATAACAACTATAATAATAATGACAACAGGCATGTATATAGTGCTTTAAGGTTTGCAAAGTGCTTTAGATCTATTATCTCATTTGAGCCTCACAGTACCCCCGGAATTAATGCCTTTTTTCAAGTGAACTTGAACTGCTCACTGCTACAAATGTCTACCTTTTGAGGCAGCTAGATGGCACAGTGGATAAAGCACTGGCCCAGGAGGACCTGAGTTCAAATCCAGCCTCAGACACTTGACACTTACTAGTTGTGTCACCCTGGACAAGTCACTTAACCCCATGGCCTAATCAAAAAAAAAGGGGGGGGAGCTAGGTGGCACAGTGGATAGAGCACTGGCCCTGAAGTCAGGAGGACCTGAGTTCAAATCCGGCCTCAGACCAAACACTTGACACGTACTAGCTGTGTGACCTTGGGCAAGTCACTTACCCCCAATTGCCTCACCAAAAAAAAAAAAAAAAACTTTAAAAAAATGTCTACCTTTTTAAC